AAAAAGAAAGGAAAACCGCAACAGCTGATAAGGGTGGATTGTGATTGGAAGTTTGCGGAAAATTCCAGAAGCTTCCAGAAGAGCGTTCCTATCGTTCCGCGCCACCCACAGCAAGAAACGGGAACACCGAACCTCTGGTACGTGGTCGCCGCAAAACCACAACTCTCGTCAGTTTAGCAGAAAGCGCTCCAGTGATTGCCGAGAAGAGGGAGAAAAAGTGCCTGCAAAAGCCCAACTGCTCGAGAGAATTTAATTGGCATTAATATTTGTTAGAAAATTAAATTAATACATATACGTAGTCAATCGAGGCGAGAAAACGCGAGTGTGGATTGATCAAGTTGGTTAATCGAGCCGGTCGGCTTTTATTCGATTTTTCCGCATACTCCGCGTGTGCAAAGCAACTCGCGTGTCGTGCACCGCGCACACGAAGAGCATCCAGAGCATCACTCTCTTCCTTGTCCTCGATATTCTCTCCGAGAGGAGGTTCGCGCACACACACGTGCGTCTTCTTCTAGGTACACCTGCCGTGGGCCAAGCGAATCTTTGAAGAGGAATCGTTGGACGTCTAGTGCAGCGTATACAAGCATCAGCAACCATGGCCGCGATGTCCGTGATCGGGATTGACTTTGGCAACGACAGTTGCTACGTCGCAGTTGCCAGGGCTGGCGGCATCGAGACCATCGCCAACGACTACAGTCTCAGGAGCACACCGTTAGTACACACGCATACATCCATAATTTACGTTTTTATTTTCTTATCCACCTACAACTGCATACGCAAGCTGTACGTTAGCGTGACTAGCTCGCCCTGTTTTTTTTTTCCTCCGTACTTACTGCCTAATCATTTGGGTGAGTACCTATAAGACCTTTTTCGTCAACGGCAACAGTATAGCGGCTTTAGCTCGCCTCTTGATGATGATTCGTCGTTGCTCATGCGGTTTTCCGGCTCGGATAACATATTACGTGTCACAAACGTTTTCTCTCTTTTCTCATGAAAATTGTAGGTTTTAGTGAGGTTAACCCTGATGAAGGGACGGTTCATTTATTAATTTTTTTTGTTTGTCACTTAGAAACGAGTTAACAACAAGAAGATTATTAATCGTACTAGCAAGTCTCAAGCCCGTGCTATAAAATTGCAACATTGCTCGCTGCAGTGTCCATGCAGTCACGAAAATTTGATTAGTTTTTGAACCTCCTTTTGTTGTTTCTTTCCATTGAATTGGTTCATTGATTTTTTTACGCGTAACCTAAAAATGTGTCCAATGAAAATTAAATTTCAAATGCAATCAAACTACTCCAATTGATGTGGGGTTTTTATATTTTTCTAATCTTGCATTAAATAGGTAATCTAATTAATGTCAGTGCAGTACACTTGCTAGATCCGTTCAATCAGTTTCTCTAGTCAAAGTAACACCCAGTATGGTAATCTAAAAACACTTATTTCTTTTACATCCACGCGTTTGCATTTAATACAGTAATATTAGCCTTTCAAATAAAAGGTCAATGTATTACTAGGTATTGTTGCATAGATATGTAAATAAGTCATCCTGCCTAGATATGAATGTGTTATGTCATGATTAGTGGCTATTAGATTTATTTGCCTATATGCTACAGCACTTTTTTGTAGTTTAATTGTGTTACACTTTTCACTTGGATAGGTATTATTTTACACTTCGAGTATTGTATTTTTAAAATTCACATACTACAATCACTGATGCAGTTAATTTTTTATTTCTACACCTCTTGTACATTGTAATTACCCAGTTCACAACCAGGACAAGGTTGTCACTTCTGAGACAGAGACAGTTTAATAGTAGTATTGATTTTTTTTAAATGTGGTCAAGTTGTCGCGTAATTGTACATTAAATTCTTCTAATATTTCTGCAATTTTCTTGAAGAAAAAAAAAAATGAGTGCATTCAATTACAGACTCGTTTTCAAAGATATACCAGTACAGTAAATTGAAAGTATAATTACTTAAGCACCTGATCTTCCCATTGTATAAATTATTCATGAAAAAAACGCCTTATGCCAAGTCCAGTGTTCAATATTAATATTGACATGCGCGACAACGATCTCACTTATCGCAATATTATTCGTTTCTCACTGTCGCTTGTCTATGAATCAATTTTTTCAAAACCACCAGCAGAATTCGATCATTTCGCAAATACTATCGCCGATGACTTGCAAAACATTGTTCAAGAGTTCATTTTCCAATCGATAAAGTAAAAAAAAAAAAAAAAACAAAGTGTGACATCACCTCAAAGAAACTATTTTTTCTCGACCCCCTTTTTTTTCAACAACTTTCCCATGCGCCAAAGTGGATCGATATTTTACAGAGTAAACAAACCAAGACGTATACGCGTGAGTAGGCTCGTCAATTATCTCTCACGTCAGCTGCTGTTGTCCGCGAGTCCTTAGATCTACTTATACGTCGAAGGAAAAAAAAAAAAAAAAAAAAAAAAAAAAAAAAAAAAAAAAAAAAAAAANAAAAAAAAAAAAAAAAAAAAAGATCACGGCCCGGATGACGAGCACACGTTTGCACGGTAGAGAAAAAGCATGAGGTGTCTGTAAGAAGAAGAGGAAAAAAACATCAGAGTATAAAAAATACAGCAGTGGGAGGACCAATCGATTCGTGCGACGGACACTGAGCTGGTTTTTTTTTTCCATTACATACAAGAGCGAGAGAGACACGTACACTCATTGTACTACATGTGCGAATCGCCAATGTTATATTATACATCAGCAAACGGTGGAGGGCGAGAGAATCACACGAAGACAGGGAAAAAGAGGAAATACCTATAAGTAAAAAAAAAAGGAGATTCGCGTGGGCCGGTGAAAAAGGAAGAGGCGCGCGACTCTATTTAAAACAACTGACTAATATTATATACTTGCACACCTTGTCCGTATATTTTTGTACATGTAAACCTGTAATTTATCACGCTCGTGATGTGTGTGCGTGGGTATATTTTATACACGTGTTGAGCACACGTGTTTCCAAGCGCGAGGGCGACACATCGCCGATTTACCGATTCGCACGTATTTTAACCGATCACCGGGAGGTATTATGCGCTCTGGACAAAATTAATTAATCATTGTTGCCATTGTATTTTTACAGATCATGCGTGGCCTTCAGCTCGAAGAATCGCATCCTCGGAGTTGCGGCGAAAAATCAGATGGTCACCAACATGAAGAACACGATATACGGCTTCAAGCGGCTCCTCGGCAGAACGTACGATGACCCTGCCGTTCAGAAAGAGCTCAAGACACTACCATTCAAAACCAGTCGGCTGCCCAATGGTGGTATTGGCATACATGTAAGTGGCAATCCTGTGTCTACTCTTCTTAATTAATATATTATTGCTTGGTTCTAACATCTCGTAAAAATTCGTTAAAAATACAATGAAAACGAAAATTCGAACTTATGGATAGTGTGTGCAGCTTTCATGTAGTTTTAGATATTAAATCTTTTGCCTCCTGTCCAGCAACACGATATTGAGGGGATACAGGGTAACTTGGCTGGCTCTTTGCCAACCTTCCCTCTCGTGTATTTCTAACATTTACACAGTTTTATTCGTACCTAATTATTTCGATCTCGCAGATGCGAGATATTTTGAGTTACTAGTCGTGAACGTTTTATTCATACCTTACCTTAAAAAATGTCTCTTTAGAGTCTTTACAAAAATCATTCACCTTTTATCGTGATTGACAGGTTAACTACATGAGCGAGGATCAAGTTTTCACTCCAGAGCAGATAACAGCAATGCTGTTTACGAAGCTAAAGGACATAGCGGTGACCGCACTTCAGACGGCGGTCAACGACTGCGTGATTTCGGTGCCGTCATACTACACTCAGGCAGAGAGACAGGCGTTGCTCGACTCGGCGCGTATTGCCGGTCTCAATGTGCTGCGGTTGTTCAACGAGACCACCTCGACTGCTCTGACCTACGGCATTTACAAGCAGGACCTCCCGCCTTCAGATGCAGCGCCGAGAAACGTGGTGTTTGTCGATTGCGGCTACGCTAGCCTGCAAGTGTCCATTTGCGCCTTCCACAAGGACAAGTTGAAGGTATGCTTTTTTTTTTCTTTGCTCTTCTTAACGACTCAATTTCGTTCAGAAGAGTTTCATCACGTTATTTTGAATTTGCAGATGTTGGCAAGTGCTGCAGACCCAACAATAGGAGGTAGGGAGATCGACGCGATCCTTGCCGATTACTTTTGCAATGATTTTGGAACGCGCTACAAAATCAATGTTAAAAACAATCCCCGGGCTTATCTTCGGCTGCTGAGCGAAGTTGAGAAACTCAAGAAGCAGATGTCGGCCAACTCGACGAAGCTGCCCATCAACATTGAGTGCTTCGTTGATGAGAAGGACGTGCACGGCTTCATGCAGAGGTCCGATATGGAGGTCATGTGTGCTCATCTGTTCAAGCGCGTTGAGGCCACCCTGAGAAACTGTTTGTCTCAGTCCAGTGAGTAAAAGCGAACATTTTATTTAATTCCTTAATTTTTTTTTGTTTCTTATTGTTAAATAAGTGTTTTATAATCGCAGGGCTCAAGCTGGATGACATACACTCTGTAGAGTTGGCCGGTGGTTCCAGCAGAGTGCCAGCAATCAAGAAAGTGGTAGAGGAAGTTTTTCAAAAACCTTGCTCGACCACTTTGAACCAAGATGAAGCAGTAGCTCGTGGTTGCGCTCTACAGTGCGCCATACTCAGCCCGGCTGTGAGAGTTAGGGATTTCGCTGTCACCGACATCCAACCCTATCCCATCAAACTCACCTGGGATGCTAGCCAAGGGGAGATCGGAGAAATGGAAGTTTTTGAGCAAAATCACTCGATACCATTCTCCAAAATGCTGACGTTCTATCGCTCGAGTCCGTTCAATTTGATTGCTAGCTACAGCGTTCAGCCGCCTAATTATCCTACTAACCATATTGGTAAGTTATAATACGCTCTGCCTTTTTTTGTTATGTGAAAGTTTTTTGGTGGTTTCATAAAAGTTGTTTTTTAATTTTATAGGCGTGTTTACGATTAAGGATGTCAAACCTAACAAAGAAGGAGAATCTTCCAAAGTCAAAGTTAAAGTTAGAATAAATCTTAATGGTATTATGACCATAGCCTCGGCTTCTCTTGCTGAGAAGCGAGAGCCCTCGCAGCAAGAAAAGGAGGAAGAAGTGCAACAGCAGCAGCAGCAAGAAACTATGAATGTTGATCAGCAGCAAGATAAAAAGGACAAAACAGATCAAGATGCTGAAGCCAAGGAACCTCCAGCACCCGAGGTAAACATCTTTTTCTAAAAATTCAGCAAGGTTTTCAACGAAAATGACATAAAACATAATTTTCTTAATAAATAAGCAAGGAAATGTGAATTTTTTATTAATACAACCAAAAATAGGGCAGTTGCGTAAAGAAGAAACGTGTGTGTCTCTGTTGTGATATAGGTGAAAATGGATAAAACGCGCCGGGGCTCCGATGACGATGACGACACAAAGAGCTCGTCCTACTCCTCCAGGATAAAGAGTGCTCTGTCCTGGTTCAGCTCGGTACGCGACACACTTATTCCCACTTACTTGGACCCATACGCGTTCACATTCAATTTTATGTTTTTGTTTTTGTTCTCGGTTGTTTTTATTACTATACAGCCAGTTTTTTTGAGACATACGAGAACACAATTGCCTTGAATTATTAGTGCTTGTTTTAGACTCATTTTTTCTCTCATCCTCAGAGAAAAATGGTATACCAATATTTTTAGAAGTGCAGATAGCAATGATCGATAAAAAAAAAATTTTTTTAAACCGAATGTTTTGCTAAATTTACAAATCATTTTTCTCTAACTTTTATTTTTGTGCTGTTTTCTGTAATTTTCTAAAGTTAAAAAAGTCTTCAATTTAAAAATATTAATAGTGAAAATGAAAATTTGCCACTATTTGGTCAAACTCAAGTTGTATGTTAAATTTGACGATGCTTGCACCCATACTTTGAAAATTTTTGTTTGAACATTTGTAAACTGTAATGCTATTTAAAAGAATTTTCACTGTTGCGCACTTTGGTTTTTTTGAGTATTATTTTTGTTTTTACTTTTGTAAAAGAGCCAAAAATATTACTAATTCATTCTTTAAACTATCATAAAATTTTTTGAAATTTTCCATCGATCTTTTAAATGTTCTACAAGTTTGTCTTCTGATATTATCAAAAAAATTATGATTCTTACCAGTAACTAACTTAATTATAATGTGTCCTTCAGTTGGAAAAACTTTTTTTTTTTATCGAAGCTTATTAGGAATATTAATGACTAACAAAATAGTTTTAGTAACAGCATATGGGTCCAAGATTAAGTCGTGTCACGTCGTGCTGTCTAACTCATTTTATGTATTATACAAACTTAAAAATCAAATTTATAATTAGAGACGTATTCTTACAACGTATGCAAACGAAAATGAATGAAAATAATATTTACATTGGCTCTCTACTCTTCATTATTTTTCTTTGAGTTGAGTTTAGTGATTACTTCTGCTAAGACACTTACATTTTGAAGAAGTATCATCCTTTTTTTAGATAGCATTATACTTCTAACATTTCGTCAATCACAATTTTATTTACAACTTTCGCTTTCGTTTGTATGAAAACAAAACTCCTTAAAACTAATGCATTAATAATAATTACTGTGCCTCAATCATATCCTTGCATATGTGCTGTTCTTTGTAAGATGGGCGATCGGCTTCTCCAAAATCTTAGTAGTATAAAAAAAAAATTAATAGAAAAATTAGTGTAGAACTGTAATATATAAATCAATAAAACTATACGTAATGATTCCCCCCCCCCTTTTTTTTGTTTTAGAATGATGAGAAGGGTGATGACAACAAAAAAGTGAAAATTCGCTTGGTTGAACTACCCATTGAAGTGCGCTCATATGGCATGTCACAGAAAGATCTGGACAACGCGTTAGAACGAGAAGTAAATTTCCAGCACTCCATTAATTTTTTGTGCAATCTTCTTTAATATTGATATTAATCGATTTTACTCGTTCACAGTTTAAAATGATCTCGGAAGACAGACAGGAAAAAGAGCGTATCGACGCTCGAAACGCCCTGGAAGAGTATGTGTACGATATGCGATCTAAGCTCCAAGACGCGGATCAGTTAGGAACTTTTGTCGAAGAGTCGGTGTGCAAAACTATGTGTGATGAGCTCGACGATACCGAAAATTGGCTGTACGAGGAGGGTGAAGAGTGCCAACGTCAAGTCTACTCAGATAGACTAGCACATCTAAGAGTAAGTTGATCCGCCTTTCGTTTTTTTGAAATAAGAGTGGAAAAAAATTACCTTCAACTGTCATGTACGAATTATTGCAGACTAAAGGCGAGCCAATCAAAGATTTGAAGGTAGAATTCGACGGTCGTGGTCCAGCGATAGACGAGCTCGCTGCCGCGCTTCAAATTGCCAAGAAGAGCGTCGATCAAATACGTTCGTGCAAGGACGACAGGTTCGACCATATCACCGATGAAGAGCTAAGTAAAGTTGAAAAAACGATAATGGATACATGGAATTGGCTCGAGGAGAAGCGAATTCAACTCAATCAGACTCCCAAAACTCAGCAACCACCCGTCTACGTCAATCAGATTCGCTCTGAGAAACAGGTGAGCAGAAAAATACAGATACTCTTTATGATTCTTCAAAGAAAAAAGGTATTGACTGAATTTAACAAATGATTTTTTTTTTTTTAGAATTTGGATAAAATTGTAACTCCAGTCATAAACAAACCCAAACCCAAAATCGAGCCACCAAAAGAGGAAAAGAAGGACAAGTCCAGTGAAAAGAAACAGAGTAACCAGAACCAGAATAACGGCCAAACAGAAGAAAATAATATGGACGTGGACCCAGCGTCGGTAAACGCGGAATAATAAGCAACAATCTCCTTTTAACGCCTTCAGCTCTAATTCTTTGATTAACACGAATAGATGTAACAATCTGTGGAAGAAAATCATTAAATGAACGACTCGGAAAAAGATGCGAACCCTTCATGGTACTGTCACTATACTTACGGTGTCAATACTTTCAGTAAGACCCGAAAGCTCATTTGCCGTCACTTGTGTGAATGTGTGTCACAAAAGCGCCTACATTTGTATGTTATCTTTCTGAGGGAGAGAACGTTAGACTATTTTTAATCGACTAATTTTTTCTGTATTCACCTGAACAACCACTTTTATTGAAATTAAATTTCTTAAGAGCTTAAAAGTGTCCATCACATTGTAGTTTCTTAACGTCTTTCTACACGCTTATTGTTTGTGTTTTCATAACTGAAGGACTTTGAAAAAAATCATAGAAAACAAGTGCGCAGACACCTGAAGGCTGTCCAGGATGAATATTTATTATTTTATTTATTTTTTTTTTTTTACATATATATAATTTAAAATCAATAATTACTACTGAAAAATATTTCGTACTCTTTCTGATGATAGTTCGTGATGAATGGTTATTATTATTAGCATAAGTGTCAATTTCGTCAGCAAAATATTGAACTGGTCCACAGGACTGAATGAAAGTTCAGTAAAAACTACGTACTAAAGAGTGTCTGTGCAGCTATATTAAGGCGGTCATTGTGTCGATGCTTTTGAAAGGAAAAAGCTTTTAAGTGTGAGTACTTCGCGAGTAACCTCTCGAAGTGATGCACCAAAAATAATAAAAAAGAAAGTGGTAAGTGAACGTGAAAAAGAATTTAACAATCCCAGGGGAAAAAAATTTGTACATATTTTTGTCTATTAGTAGGCATTATTATAATCTTTCATAAGTCCATGTAATATTAAATATACATTATTTAATTTACTGTTATATACAAAATTTCAAAGCATAAACAGTTTATCTTCACGGTATTTAAAATTTTTTCATTCACGCTAACTTTTTAAAAAAATTTACATGATTTTTTCCCCCGGTATCTCCAATTTTTGATAGTCCAAGAAAATTCCAGAAAAGTGAGATGCAAGATTATAGAATTTTTTATAAATAAAAATAAAAGTATAATTGAAGTCAGTCGTAAAGAAAAGTAACTAACAAATTGAAACTGAAGAAAAATTTGTTTAAATAGTCGTGGAGGGTAATGTATCGCTGGCGATTTTATGTATTTAACAACGCATATTAAAAGGTTATTTCATTCCATCATGATGTTTATAAGCCCAACAAAACCAATAAATTCTTGTGTATGTACATCGTGTAATGCATTTATGAATACTTGATTCAAAGAAAACAGTGAAAAGCAAAAAAGGAAATTAAGACGTAACTGATGAGTGGTCACTATTTATTATATGTACCCACACTCACTTGCTTAAAGATGTAGTGTGGTATCACGTGAAGAAACAAAAAAGTACGAACATAGCAAAATTTTATCTATGGTTTGATTGTTAGTTTGAGTTATGGTAGTTTTAAGGTCATAAGGCAAACAATTATGCTAAAGAAGAGGCAAATGGTTTGAGCGTGATAATATGTATAGTCATTTTTGTTCCTGATAACTGAAGATTAACACGTAAAAACCGTCAGCCACGCGATGTAGTTAATATCTTGAATTCTTTTTCTAAGTATGTGCCCTATTTTCCTTTTTTCCTTTTACATCTGATCTTCAGTTTTTGTACGATTCGCATTTTAAGTCATCTTTCAACACAAATTGCAATTTTCTTGTTTTTAGAGACTTTGTTCCTTATATCTCGAAAAGTGAAAATATTATTACTTTGCAAAAATAAAATTTATTAACTGTACAATAAAACCAAGCTTATCTAATATAAAAAAAGAAATTTGTCTTTATTTAATTTTCCACAGTATTTTTTCCATTATTTCTTTAATAATATATATTAGTTATCTTATTCAAATGCATGTAAAAAAAAGACGATTAATCTGCCTTCCAAGGCGCCTTGGTTGGTGAGTCAAAGTATGCTCTGTATATAAACATTCCAAGAGCAACGTGAAGCACTATAACTGCCGTGAGAGCGGCATAAACATTGCTTGATACGGCGCTCAGGTTCAACAAACCTGGAAAAAAATCAACATTATTTCTACTGTTGTACTGAAACTTGTATGGTCAAAGTAAATAACTGAAATATTTTACCATCAAAAATAAAAACTTTGCTTCCAAAAAATGATAACACAGGACATGCAATGATTATTATACAATGAATAAGGACTGTTTTGAACACTTGCAGTTCAGTTGATTCCTAAAAATTAATGATGAATTCGATGATATTGTCACTTGTTATTGAAAACAATGTCAAAACAATCAATGCAAGCTTAATTTTTTTTTTTTTACTTTCAATGCAACGTTATTGATAAAAACACAATGTTAACGGCATCGAATGGTAATTTACTTACTTTTCGCGAAGTCATTTTTATTTATTGTTGAATATAAATAGTTGCCGAATAGCAACAATCACATAACCAAAAACGAATGAACTTGTCTGAGTCTTTTCTACGCACGGCGAGAAAAACACTTGATGAGCATGAAATCAAAAATTTTAGACTCAAGCTTAAGTTGTAATGAAAAATATTACTTTTGTTAAGTATTGATTGTCAAATTTCTCATGATTGATCTTTCAAAGCGTCAAGTCACGAGACACCCCCACAAAAACAAAACTGACATAGCAGTAGACAAACCAATCGACGAATCAACGTGGCAATGATAAGACAATGTTCCGCCATATTAATCTAAATTGTACTTTTAGATAAAAATGGTGGGGAAATCCCATGCAATTTTTCCCGACTTAGTCAATATGGCGCAGCCAATTAAAACGTGTGCAACCTCGGCGTCGTGTTGCTTTCTTGAAGATCGCTATATTCGCTACATGTATAGGTAAACGAAAGATATAGGTATATAGGGTTGGTTGACAAGCAGAATTTTCGGATACAAGATGCATTCTAATCTTGTCGCAAATGGTACTTTTAGTAAACAACTTTATATTTTCTATCCATTGGTGTATGTTGCGGCTAGTTAATAAAAAATATTATACGGCACTACCATAATTACCACATGACTCTTCACCACTATATGAAATATGACCGAAATATTCCGGATCTCCACGAATCTAGAGGTTCCTCAATTTTGGTGAGAGTGGCGGCTGGTTAAAATTTTAACCACTCTTTGGCCTCAGCTCTTGGTCTAGTACTCAAACTACAACCTATACAAAGTCTGATTCAGTCCGCGTGGCGCGAGCTAATCAGAACACAGACAGAACTGTCAGAAGAACTTTTGCAGTGGAGACTGGAGTTTGTTCGCTCGCGCTTGGATACTTTTATTTCGTTGTTTTTTAATGATAATTAAGATTTAGTAGAATTATATCAAGTGTTACAATGAGCTCTAATTCACAACCAACTGCTAAGGTAACTATGACTTGTGCAAATGAAAATATGTAAGAAACTAATTTTTCGTCAAGTATTCGTTTCATTTGGTCATTTTACTTATAAAGATTTTTGAAACAAGTTCATTATTTTTTGTCAAGTATTCGTGTCGATTAGTTGATTGAGCAAACTTACGTGTAATATTGCAATATTGCATTAAACTTTACCTCCAAGTTATATTTGACCGAAATTATTTATCCAGGAAACTTTGTCCAAAAATATAACAACTTGCATTCTTACTCCAACACTGTATGTATATTGACTAACATTTAATATAAATCAATTTTTCAACAAACAGTCAAATCCTGCAACATCGCAGCCAGTCACAACAGAGTACAGCATAAGAGTTCCAAAGTAAGTTTCCGGCAACACATACAAAAATCTAAGTTTCCAAGAATTGCTGTTGATAAATATTTTTGATAAATTGCAGGGATGGTAAAAAAAATCACCATGTGATGCGTTTTAATGGAAACTTGAAGGTTGATTTCAAAGAGTGGAAGGGAAAGTCAGTCAAAATGGAAAGAGAAAATAATTTGAGGAGTTTTAAGGAATTAGATGAGGATATTCCAAAATTTGGTGCAGGGTCTGAATTTGGTCGAGAAGCCAGGGAAGAAGCGAGAAGGAAAAAGTATGGTGTTGCCAGTAAGCAGTACAAGCCAGAAGATCAGCCTTGGTTATTAAAAATCGATGGAAAAAATGGCAAGAAATTCAAAGGCACTCGTGAAGGCGGTGTCAGCGAAAATGCAGCCTACTATATTTTCACACATAGCGCTAATGGTATCATAGAAGCCTTTCCATTGAAAGAATGGTAAATTTGTGTTGTTTTGTTCTTGTTTGTGAATTTTAGTTTTACCGTATAATCTACAAAATTTCGTCTTGGTTTGAAGGTACAATTTCCAACCTGTACAAAGGTATAAAGCTTTAACTGCCGAGGAAGCTGAGGAAGAATTCAGCAGAAGAAACAAGGTTATAGACTATTTTTCTTTAATGATGAGAAAAAGGCTGCGCAACGAGGAAGAAGAGGGAGAAGACGCGGAGCGCAAAGGCGAGAAGGGCAAAAAGCCTGGCAAGAAGAACAAGGATTTCAAAATTTCAGAAATGGATGAGTGGGTAGATGATGACGAAGACGACAATTCTGATAGCGATAAAGAGGCTGATTCTGAAGATAATGGAAAAAATAAAAATAAGAAGAAAAAAGGTTTGTTGAATAAATTTTACCAGTCTTGAATTCTTTTTTTAATAAATCAAATGAATTAACGTAGGTCCGCAAAAAAAGAAAAAGAAGCATGCATCTGATAGCGAAGCATTTGAAGAAAGTGATGATGGGGATGAAGAAGGAAGGGAATGTGATTACATATCGGACTCTTCGGCTTCAGAGTCTGAACTCGAGTCTCAGAAAGAAATAAAATCTGTTGCTGAGGAAGATGCTTTGAGAAAATTGTTGGCGTCAGATGACGAGGAAGACGAGGAAGAAGAAAAGAAGGACGATGAGGACAAAAACGAGGACGAGGATGAGGAAGGCAAGGAAAACGATGATAAGGAGAAAGAAAAACCTACTAAAAGTAAGGAAAAATCCAAAGATAAAAAGAAGAAGGATGGTTCTGACTCTTCGAGTGAAGGTGAAAATGCAGCTGCTCAAAGCAAAGATGACAAAAAGCCAACGAGCACGCAAAGTTCGCGATCCGCGACACCGACTGCTCCAGGGCCAAGCACATCGGAATCCCTTAAGAGGCCCGCTCCCAGTACTTCTGACGTGCCACCGATCAAAAAAACAAAACCCGAGAACAATTACATTTACTCCTCAGCATCCAGTTCAGGTGATTCTAGAACAATAACGGAAGAAGCTGTGAGACGTTATCTTATGAGGAAACCCATGACGGCGAGGGAACTTTGTCAGAAATTCAAGAGAAAATCCGGTCTTTCTTCTGAACAACTTGTTGAAATCATGACTAAGGTTTTGAGGAATATCAATCCCACGAGCCAAAAGATTAAAGAGAAGACATACTTTTCAATCAAAGTCGATCCAAAACAGCTGCAACAACAGAGCAACTGAGATACCTTGTAAACATAGGAACTTAATTTAATTTATTAATTTTTATTTTAATTATTTTTTAGNGCGTACGTGTACGTCAATTTATTGTGCTTCAAATGTTATTCGGTGAATTACTTTTATTTTACATGTAATTTAACAATTAAATAAGTGTATTAACAGCATCATGAGATTTTTATATTTTACATACAATAAATAAAATTTTTTTTTAATGTTTACTATTAATTTTTACACCAAATTGCGTGTTTTTATTACTAATTAGTAATCAAAAAATTTTCTTTTGTAAGATATCCTATACAAATAAAATATTTATTTTCAACACATCCTTTAGTCTGATCATTTTAATCCGTGCATATGGCATATATTGAATTGAAGGTGCGTTCAAATAAAGATTTTTTTTCCTCAAATTTTACCAAGATCAGGTTAGGTAGTTTGGCGGAAAAAAGGGGACTTCAGTAATTTAGTATAGATTTTGAAAATAAGTGAAGTTGTTATTGGAGAATCATTTCAGTTGTAAAAAAAATGTCAGACCTAAGCGATGTGATAGATAAGACGGTAGAGGTCGACGAGGAAGAGCTCATTAAACTGCAAGATGAGGAATTCTTGGCTGAACAGGACAAAAAGTTTGAAGACCTTCGTTTGAAGCTACAGTCTTTGAAAGGTTAAGTTGCTTTGTTTGGACTCCTTGTATGCATGAATAAATATCGATTTATCAAGTTTTTATCATTGTAGACGAAAACAAGAGACAAATCGACACTATTATCAATAGTTTGGATCAACTAATGGCTGAGAAAAATCACATAGATGAGACATTGAAAAATATTAACAGTGTGAGCGATCACATTGACAATAACTTAGCAGTTGATTCAAAGCATTTGTACGTAATTTTACTTGTTTTTATCGAACTAGGGTATACACTAAGCATTGCTTCTTATTACTAAAAAAAAGAAAATTAATTTTTGCAGTAGAGTGGTAGATTACCTTGCTAAAGTTACGGGGTACAGTGACTCTGATGACATTGTTTTAAGCACAGAAGCATCTAGAGATGTAAGTTAAAATTTATTAATATTTTATTGTATGTAATTCATTGATACTGAAAATAATTTAAATCTCAGGCAAACCAGAAAATAAAAACTGATGGCTCGGATGATTGTAAACTAAAGGAAATGGAAGTTGTAGATGACATAAAAACAGACGAAACAAAAGAAAGTACCAACGAAAACTGTGATAGCAATGAAAAATCTGAAGATTCTAAAGTGGATGTTAAAGATTCAGCAAATGAAGTTTTGAACAGAACAGAGCCTGCAAAAGACTGAAGCATTCAGTGCATGATAATTTTCGATGAATTGGCAATGTCTTGGATACATTTTAAGGCTTGTGTTTAATAATTAGACAAAAATATTATTTGCAAGCGTTAGAAATAATGACTACCTTTAAGATTCATGAAATTAGTGATTTTAATTCAAATTTTCTTTTTTTGTAAATTAACTTATTTTTTTTAATCATAAAAAACCAGCAAACTCAAGGTATGATGTAATATTTCTTAAACTTGTACATATACATTTTTAATAAAATAAAGTATGAAAATTTTTACAAGCAATACGTATTTTGTTATTGATCACAAACTGTTGAGATATGAAATAATTCAAATTTTGTTTACCCTTGTAAGTAAGCCCCCCTCCCCTAATTTTCTTGAGCTGGTTTTGCATGGGTATGCTCACCTGCCTTGAGAATTTGTTACCCACTCGTTCAGTCGTATTCTATTTTTCGAGTGACTTCTACTATGAACCACTATTAATCTATTGTTGATGGTCTTCTCGGGCTCTTGAAATTTTTTCGAATTTTTCTGTTACTTTTTTTTTAACTCTTATAATTCATAAGTATACCAAAATTTGAGTGTCTTAACAAAATCAAAATGAGCGTTCCTGAAAACCGAATGGATGAAAGTTTGCTCACTGAGATTAATGGCGTCAACGTAAGTATAGTTTTAAAATCTAATTAAAAATGAAGTTATGGATGTTATTTGCTATTGTTACATCTTCCCTTTGGTCAAGTTCATAAATACTTTTACATAAAACGTGTGTACCTCTCTATAAAATATAGAGTAATAACGTTCAATTTAGGTAAAATATGGGTAACATACATTTAACATCAAACTACAAAAGTGTACGTAATTTACACAGAGTGGACTAATTTTTTTATTCAAACGCGTTATATTTTGTTTTCAAAAGTGCGTGCATACTTTGTCGCTTCTACACTACGAGGGTGGAAGAAAAACTTATGAAAATATCCACAGTAAACTATAAACGAATTTTATTGTCTATTAGTAAGGAATGTTTATTTATGATGTTCTACTGTTATGTGAATTAAAAAAAAAAAAAAAAGATTACCGAATCAATAGATTTGCACGTGAGAAATAATTATCATGCTGTCGGGCTAGGGAGATCGTAACGAAACACATACGTATAGTCTCAAAATTTAAATGAGAAAAATCAAAATAAACTCAAAAAGTGTGGGTGACAATTAATACATTCCAAAACTTGTGTACAAATTTTATTTACATTTACTTTGAATTTATATTCCAGTAGTACTCATGATACGCTCTAATATTTCGCGGAAATATGAGTCAACAAACAAAATACAATAGAATATCGAAATAAAGCATTTCATTTTTGTGTTGGCAATTTTTCAAGCTCCTCTCGCTTTTGTACTAAACTATTTGTGCAATCGACAAGAGTTTGTCACTATACGTACAGAAATTCTTGTCTTGACGTAAACTGTTAATTCCTAATTGTTAATATTTTAATTCATCATCATCACTATCATCAGAGCGAATTTCCAAGATTCGTTACATTTGCCAGGGGCTACCATATTGCTTTTGGTGCAGTTGTCCCTTTAAAAAATAAAAAAAAGTTTCTTTTTGCCAAAAATACGAGTTTATACATCTGCCTTTTGCCACTGATTTACCAATACGTTAAGTCTCAATAAAGTACATTTATGGATATTTTTCTCCACAGCTGCACAGACGAGGCAGTTGGCAGTCCATAGTGAAGATCATGAAGCAGGCGAAAAGAGCCACGAGTAAGAAAATGTACAAGAAAAAATTGTTGACCATCCAGGTGTCGTCTTCGGTGAAATCGGAGCACAATTTTAAAAAAATGCTGACCGACATGGTCAACGGAGATCTCATTAAGTATTCGGAGTTTGGTAAAAAAAAAAAAAAAAATTAATGCGTACGTGTACGTCAATTTATTGTGCTTCAAATGTTATTCGGTGAATTACTTTTATTTTACATGTAATTTAACAATTAAATAAGTGTATTAACAGCATCATGAGATTTTTATATTTTACATACAATAAATAAAATTTTTTTTTAATGTTTACTATTAATTTTTACACCAAATTGCGTGTTTTTATTACCAACACAAAAGCCTAACAACACTATATTCAAAATTATAAAATTTCAAGACTTTCTATTAAAAATCTTATCTGATGAAAATTGCAAATATATTAAATAATTACTATTGTTTATTAATTAGCTTTTTTTTGGGCTATATTTACAAAAGAAGGCTCGAAAAAAGAAATAGGTTGAAAATAAAAGGGGTTTTCAAGAAAAAATAAAATAATGAGAAAATATGTCCATATGTTGAAACAAATTATGTAAAAAAAATTTTTCATAATAAATAGTTGATTAATGTTGTTTTTTTTCGAAATCAAGAATAGAGGTGTTTTGTCTCTTTAAAATTGCGTATAAGAAATAACAAAAAATTTGATCGAATTAAAATAACGGACAAACCTATGGAATTTTTCCTGATTTTGCGGGGCGGGGGGCTGAAGCTGCTGCAGAGGTACCGGATATGGAGTGGGAGGTAGCGAAGGGTCTTTAAGGATAGCGAGGGGACGTGGGGACTGGGGAGTCACGGAAAAAATAATGGAAAATTTTATTGGTAATTTTATGAATACGTATATGTATATAATATATTA